AAAAAAAAAAAAAAAAACAGCTCAGGTAAAAGTGTAACAGCTCTAAGCACAACCCATTGATTATATTTATGTCACTTTTATTGAATACAAATGTATAATATATTTATATTTATTATTTTTGAAATAATGATATTCAAGTTTATTATGGATAATTATTAAAAAATGTTATTGCCTACCATTTTTCGTATGCAAATCATTTATATATTACGTATGTATTGTATATAAACTTATATATTTTAACAAGTAGAGACACATCCTGTTATCAACTCTATATGTAATTGCAGAATGCATTGAACTTAAGTGACATACTCTATATGTAATTGCAGAATACATTGAACTTAAGTGACATACTTTCATGTTTCGTAATCTTATGTGGCAAAAAACTTTGTTTGGGGGTCGGGCTTAGACATAAATGTAATAGAAATTCACGTCAAAATGAATCAAATTTAAATGTAATAGAAATTCAAGAAATGTTACTCTATAAATAGAATGTTTTAATTCGTCTAGCGACCAAGTTTGACAAATATTGAACATTTTTTTATACTTGGATTTATATCAACTTACTTCAAAACCCAACTTGTATCAAGATCATTCATGATTAATAATAAAGAGGTCCATTTCAAGTTTTTTTTTTTTTTTTAATTATTCTAATTTAATTTATGTCTACTACCGTTATCCACAAAATTTATTGGATTAGTTTTCACTCGTGTAAATGTTCATAAATGAGAATTTGAGCAATATATTAATACTAGTTTTTGGCCCGTGCATTTGCACGAAAAGCTATATGATAGAAGAGAATAAAGTAAAAAAAAACAAATATAAAAATAATAACATAATCATTGAAACAAAATAAGAAATAATATCTAAATATTATTAAATATTTCTTTATATACAACGTTCGTGGTTTTTCTATCGTCACAATCTCCATCAACACAAATTATTATCTCCAAACTCCTCCGACTGATGACTCTAGATCGTGCCACATACAATTGTCCATGACTTAATACATGATTCTTCATTAGTAAATTGAAGCCTTGGAGGAGTACGTCAACAAATCTTTTGTCAACACCTTTTGAAGATGGTAGTTTGCACATTTTGGTACATGACTATTCTAACGATTATATCTTCAAAATAATAATAATAACAACAATAATAAAAAAAAAATAATTGATTGATATAATTAAAACAACAAAGGAAAATGTAATAGCTATTTATAAAGACAAAAAATTAAACAGTACCTATAAGCATAGTTGGGTTAACAAACTTGGGACTATTGTACCCTCACTTGGCGTGTACCATGTCCCGAGTTCGAGTCACTCGGAGGGGAATTGGGGAACCAGTTTAGATCCTCCTTTTTAAGAAGAAAAAAACAAACTTGGGACTATTTAAATCCTTGAAATTTTTGAACTTGTACATGGAAGAATTTATAAACACCGCCAGTTTTGTTTTTCCATAAAATAAGAATATATTGAAATTCATCCATGTTTTGAAGGAGTTAGTATTGGGATTATAAACAAATTTATCTGGTCATCATAATTTAGCTAAGTATTAATTTATTTTAATTAATATAAATAATTTGAATTATAATGTGTCTGATCTTTGGGATTAATTTTTGCAAAATAAATATGAATAAACAACTGTTATAAGTCATTCTTTTGCTGATGGGGATTTTCCAATTACGGGGAATAATTATCATAATTATTTTATTAATAATTATAATAAGCAATTTGGAAGTGACATAATGTGAAGGAAATGATAATAATATAAGTCATTCTAGTGCTCAACCCGTGCATTTGCACGGAGAAAAATACTTAGAAAAGATAATAATATAAAAAAATACATAACCATAATTCATTTCATGAGAAAAAATATGAATTAAGAAAATGATTTTAAATTTTATTAACCATATTGTCTGTATACAATATTTATGGTTTTTCTATCGTCAGAATCACCATCACCACATATCATTATTTTCAAACACTTCCCATTAGTAACTCCAGAAAAGCAACGTCCAATTGTTTATTACTGAAAACAGGGTCATTCAAGACTAAGCGAACGTGTGAGAGAGATTGATCTTGACTCTTGATGATCGCCATAGTATAGGAGACCATGTTAAAAAAAATTTTTGCGTCGAAATTTTAACGGTACCCTCAAACAAATAGGAAATAATAAAATAGAAGAGCCATTACAACCATTTTCTTTATGCTAAATCAATTTTGTAACTCCCTTAATTGATTTATGCTCATAATTTATGGCATTCAAGCAAGTTAATTTGTAACTTAAAAATGAAATTGAATGCTAAAAAAAATGGAGGGAGAATAAAATTTAATGCATCACAATAAAATTAAATGCTTGTCTTGCCAAATTATATATTTATAGATTACGTAGTACAATTAAATAAACATAAAAAAAAAAAAAAAAAAA